CCTCCCCCACGCCCGCGAGCGGCGAGCGCCGGCCCGGCCCGCGCCGCGCGCCGCCGTACCTGAGCCGCCTGCTGACAGGGTCCATCTTCCAGGAACCGGGCGATGAGGAAGTAGAGCTCTGCGCGGGAGAGAGGGACGGGGAGACACACAGGCTGAGCGGCCGGGCGGCGGGGGGCGGGGGACCGCGGGCGGAATCGCCCGGTGCCAGCGGCCCCGGCAGCCCCCCGACTTACCCGATCGCAGCTCCGAGAGGCCTTTCCTCTCACAAGACATGTTTATGGGTCACTTCGGGGCCGCCGGCGGGACACCCCGCCGCCGAGTGGAAGCGGGGATGGTGCCGCCGCCTGCCCTATAGCTGTCACTGTGTGTTCACGAGCCGAGCCTCGGCTCCACCATTCAAGCAACGGCGGCGGAGGCGGAGGAGGAGGAGGAGGAAACAACAACTCTCAGGCAGCGGCTACAGGCGCCGCCGCCGCCTCCGCCGCGGATCCCTCCGCCGCAGAAAGGAGTCCGCCGCCTTCGCGGCCCCGGGCTCGGCCTGTCCTCGGCCCGCGCCCGCGCCCCCGCCCCCGCCCCCGGCGCAGAAAAAGGAGTGCCTCCGACCCCGCGGCCCCGGCGCCCCCGCAGCCGGCTCGGCGAGACCCCCGCCCGCGGCTCTCCGACCGAAGGTGCGATTTATTTATTTATTTCCAGTCGAAGATGTCGGAGCCGGAGCCGCCGGTTGGCTGGAAGGCGCTTTCTCTGTGGAGGCCGACCTCGGGAGGGAGGGGGCCGGGGACGGCTCCGCGGAGGGATCTGACGCACACGGAGCCGCAGCACAGGCTCTATTCAGCGGCGCTGGCTGGGGCTGAGATGGAAGTTAGTTTCTATGTAGCAGAAATAGGAAACAAATGAAGCAAAACTGCCCAAAGAGGGGAAATGCCCCGAGGATGGGTCTCACTCTCACGCGCGCGCACAGACACACACGCAGACAGCACTCTCACGCTGGGCAAACTCGGGATCGCGCTACCCTGCCCGAGTTGAATGATAGTGTTTGGTTTTTGCTCTTGCCATGTGCATGTGTATAAATGCTGCGGATTGGCATCTGTGTAAGTCTTGTCCTGCGTTATTTCTGCAGCCTATGCAAAGTGTTGTGTAATTTATTGGAGGGCTGTATATTGCAATAGAGGTTCAGGCGCTTTTTGTTGAGCACTTGCGTTTGCAAGCCCGTTATTTGCTGAAGCCACCTCTTCGTGTCTTTTATTACTGCCATTGCCTTAAGCGTACATTTTAAAAATGTTTTTCATTGTTATATGGGCAAAGCGAACTCCTGATCTGTACTTCAGATACTCTTTTTCCTCGTTACAAAAAGGCTAGTAATAGCTAATTAGGGATTTGGGATTAAAGAACCTTAAAGCTTTTCTAAGTGTTTACAAGAAGGAATAATGTAAACCTGAGCGAAAGGAAAGAACGTTAATATTTATCTCTAACTGATCTAGAGGTAATATACTGACAGATCAATAACGTACCGAAGGATAACGAAAGAGTATAGTACGCTTTTAGCCAAGGTGATTGGTGATTAAATAATTCAAATTATCTGTGTATATTGCAGTTGACTTCGTCATGCTAATTAATGGCTTCTAATTTGAGGTGTAAACCATTCCTGTTTACAGTTGATCACGGGAAGACTTCTTGGAGACTGACGAAAAGAGAAAAAAATTAATCTTTCATAAATTAGTATGTAATTACCGGTTTTATATGCTAAATCATACATCTGTCTTTTGCTGATGAGGATAAGGGCCTTGTTTTTTAAAAAACGAATATGGGTGAAATTAATGGAAACAATGGAAAAAGCCATTTGTTAGGAAACAAGGACACCAAGTGATATTTATCTCCAGAGGATTTAAGCACTTTTCAAAAAGACTTGAGAGTTGATTTTTTTTTTTTAAGGATTGCATTTTAAAGGGAACTAGGATAGTCGTTCTTTTGTTAACATTTAACAAAAGAGTCTCCTTAAAAAATTTAGATAATAAACTGCATTTTATGGACCTGGTCTAAAAAGGTTAGTTATGGGGAAAGGACCAACAAGCTGCATTGTGGTTTTCTAGATTGCTTCCTCAACCCTTGTACCCTCCTAGCTCCTTACATTCCTAGTGGGAAATACTTGCTGCAACTGCCTTGGGCTGCCTTGCAAGACTGCACCGGTGTGATGCCTTGTACTGAAACAGCCAGAAATCACCGTACATGTGAGAAAGGAAAAAAACACCTAAACCTATTTGGAGTAATAGGATGTAAAAATTGCCTTTTATAACAATCTTAACCAAATTTTTTAAAAAAGGGAAGTTACCATGACTTGTCCTATTGCTGTAGGGTTATCAGAGTCATTGTTATTTATTGAAATGGCTATCCTTCAAGTACTAAAAATATTTGCATTTTTAAAGACATTAGTTCTATTGTAACTATGATAGGTAAAGTAGCTTGCTTCTAGATGGTTAGGTTTGAAAAGATGGACATTTAATATGCCTTTTTGCAATTCTGTTTATTTCCGTGACACATGCTTTCTATTTTATCTTAACTTTTAAAAAAGTATCATATTCTTCAAATAATTGTGATTTTTTTACATTACGATGTTCTTCAAATAAACAGATTTTTTAGGAACTAAACATTATAGTTAGAATTTTGTGATTTTTAAAATGTTTGCATTAGTCTGATTCTTACTAATAGATGTTTATCCTTGCTAAGGAAAAGAAACCAAATTATGACATGGAATATAATATTACTCTGGGTAAAGTTTTCTATATATATCTTGTGAGTAGTATGGAAATATGGAAAGCTAGTATGAATATCTCATGTATGCTTTTCATTTAGAAGCTTTTCCTAAGTATGCTACTAGTACTTAGCTCCTAAAAAATTTTTACGGAAAAATTTCCTTCTAAATTTTCTGAATATGATGTTCCTGTCATTTTGACTAACCTTTGACAATGTTTATAGTTTCTTTTTCAAAGACCTAATTTGAAGATAGTTGTGAGCCTGCCTTTGAACTAATTTATAGCTATCAGTCTGTAATAAGAAAATATAGGTTACCTGCTAAAAATTAAAACTTCTTTTCAGCCAAATAAATTATTTGTTTTTAACAATAGATGTTAATTTGAAATCTACTTAGTTCTTCACATGTGACAAATACTCCTTTATAACATTTTAATTTCTTTAAACATAAAACATTTCTGGAATCTGACATCATCCGTTAACTATAGGGTTTATTATGTCATGTATTGTGCATGTGTACACAAAAAGTCAGCACATATCAAATAGGAAGAAAATCTTACTTTGAAGTCCTAAATTTTAGTTCCCAGGGCAGTGGCATTGTCAGCTAACTTTTACATATAAGGATAGTTCAAATTTCATCTATATCCATTTCTATTTGTTTATTTTAACTTTTTCATGGACTTCAAAAATAAAATGTCAATTTTAAAAGATTTTCATACCTTTTTTTTTTATAAGAAGGCTAAAAAAAATAGTAAAAGTTTGGAAAGCCAACAACTACTGTTTTTATATAATACAGTGTCTAGGAGATTACAAACTTCGTGAAATGTAAAAGCTCCTGGGAAATTCATTGCTTCATTGCTTCACTTGGCAACACATGAAACAAGATAAACATTTAACAGAAAGTCTGTCTTGATTGTGATAAGTTACTATTCTAATGAAATAATCAAATGCTACCATTCAAGTTCTTTCTGGAACAAGATGGGATCGTTTATAAGTAAAAAGATTCAACCACATTTATGAAATTTAGTTTGCTCCCACTAGTATGGTGAACTCAAAAAAACTTTACAATTACAGCTTTTAAGATTATATATTAAATCTTTTGTGTGTGTGATATTATGCTTTTTTTTAATAGCAAAAGCTTTGTCCTATAAAGTGTAGAAATGGAAAAGTAGAAAACACTCTTCTTCAAAAACCACATTCTTTTTCGGTCCTCACCTGCCCTAACAACAAAATACAATTGTCAAAAGAGTGTTGTTTCACACACCACTTTCCTCCTTCTGGATTGCTCCCCAATATTGGTTTTGTCCATGTCGGTCTGACTTTCTCCCTCTCAACACACATATTCTTCTTCCTTCACAAAGCTTGAATATATATCAGATTTGAACCATGTAAGTAGATATACTATTTGGCTGCTACAGAAAGAATAGAGAGAACCAACTTCAGTAAGCCAACTCATTATTCAACACTTTGTATGGTCTCCCTTATATCTCACTGAGAAACCTTTTAATCTGTAACAAAGATTAGCTGGTTATCAACAATCATATAATCCCTTACTTACTTAAATGTTATTAGTAATTTACCACTCAACTTTTTTTCCTCCAAATTAAATTATTCTAGTAGCTTAGTTTTTAAATGTCTTAGTTTGCATGGTAAGGAGAAATACATATCTTCATTAAAAAAAAACATGTATATATACACACACACATACACACACATCACTTCATGAGTTCACAGTACGGCTACAAAGATTAAAGGAGAAAAACAATTTTAGAACACATTCCCCCAAGATTTGGAGCAACACGGTGGATGAAGTAGAAAGAGCTGTTCCGGATGGCAGGAAACTTAAAGGAGAAGTCTGTAGGCATGTTCTATTATATGACGATGTCTAATGGATTGAGAGTGGGCTTTATCGAACAGGGAACAGTGAAGAAGTGAAGGTAGACTCAGGAGAAGGGATGCAGAGACTTGAAAAGTTGCTAGTGGTGGTGTATTAAATAAAGCATATATGATCAATGCGATTCTAAGATGGAATTTGAGGACAGAAAGTGTAGCCACTTGCATTCATATGTACCTGAATTCATAAACTTTGAGAACCCCCAAGAAGAAAAATTATTTTATTCATGGAAAGGGAGAGGTTTGTCTGTCGAGTTAGTGAGGAACTTCTACATAATCAGAATCAAGGACACCAAAGCAGACACTGTTAGTGAAGAAAGAGAATGGTTGTTTAAAAGAATAAGATCTGACCACCAGAGTGCCCACAGGCTGCCTTGAGATTCAAATATGAGAATAAGACGTACAAAAAGTAAGATCCAACTCAAAATTGAGAATGAAGCCAATTTAGATTTAAGCTGACTTTGTAATCAAAAATGGTGTTTCCATTTTCTAAATTCCTATAGAAAGGCATGTCTCATTATACCACCTTATTTGTAAATTGCCTTCATTTATATATATATATATATATACGTATACGTATATATGTATATATACACACATACTTGGCAAAGATCCCCTTGACTCATGCATCTGTTGCTTTATTTCCTTCAATGGATATAATCATACCTATTTGTTGAAATGGTGATTAGCTAACTAGCCCAAAGAATGAGTTCTGTTACACATTTATAAAATTTAAAATAATATTGATACCAAGTAGATCTTTCAAATGAGATGTGTGTGTTAAAAATTTAAGAGAAAAAAGAGAACCTTTGAATATGATTTTGAGATTACACCTACAAATTCCATTGCATTCAAAGTTTTCATGCTTACATTTGAACACGTACGAATAAAGGTGCATATTAAGTGGTTATAGTGGAATTTTTCATGCTTATCCAAACTTCCAACTGACAATGATTTATAGAAAAACTAATATAGCCTTTAAATGGAATCTCCTGGTAAGAACATATGTATTATTTCCTCTCAACAGTTATTAGAAGTGTTGTCACTGAATATCATTAGGAAACATCTTTCTTAAGAATATTGAGTAAGTGGTATCATATGAGAACGAAGAAATATGTTGCTTTTTGTCTTACCATCCTCACCTCTCTGGTTTGCACATGTTACACTTTATACTTGTTTTGTCATTCATTGTTTTGGGGTTTGGGGTAAGTGTATGTATAAGAGTTTCACCTTCCCCTGCTTCCTCACCTTTTCAGTTTTTTCAGCGTCTCTATAACATTTTCCTTCTCTTCCATCATTGAAACTTTCGTTCTAATGGTAAACCAAATATAGGAATTAAGATATATAATTAATTTGGATATATCCTAAAAGCTCTAAAAATATGAAGATGAATCTATTCTTCGTTTCTTATAGTTGAAACTTGCACACTAAAATCTTCCACCTCTCTTATTTTCAGCCTCCTGGTTATTTTACAAAAGACTAGAGAAACAATTTACACACCTGGTATGAAAAGGAGGGAAGAAAAAGCCTTTCTTTACTTTTTCATAAGGAGAGAAACGAAGTGCCAAGCAGTAAGCATTTTCTGTTTGTGAAGTATATATACAATTTTGTGTTACAAAATTTTTCCTATTTCAGTATTTTTTGCCAAAGTCAAGGTAAGTGTGGCCTCTTTAGACATTAGATTTTCTGAGTTAGAGGAATTACTAATTTTTTTAGAAGTTATTTTTGAAGTAATTAATGCATCTTTCTGACTCTAGCTTGTGAAGTTTCCAGTCTAATAGTGACTGAAGAGGACTGCCATTGACTCAAAGCACTCTCTGGTGCTGCATAACTTCACCTCTTTGAAATATTTAGGTCGGAAATTCACTTCATTTTCAGAGCCAGATCCCATCATGCCCATAAAAATGTTCGAAAAAGAAATCCGGGATGAACACACAATGGCAAATTTCCATGGCACAACAACGGTAAGATATTTTTCCCTCATGCCTGTGAATATTGCATTCTTTTATTAGGATAATAATTACAAAGGTCATTTCCCCTTTCAATCAGCCAGTTTCTCATGTGGCCTCTTCTTTTTCTTTTTATTACTAAGAGAATATTTTAATAGAAATTTATTTTTTTAAATATGAAAAAGAAACAGGAGCTTCAGTCACAAGTTCCAGTGACCTGTACTGCTTCTGTGAAGCCATCTTCCTGTTTCCTGGGCAAAAATTTTTGAGTTGACGTAAGGACCCAAAGTCTACCTTTAATATCTCTCCCTTGTCTCCATGTGCCATTTCTACTGCTATAGTATCCTCATTGCAGCATTCTGTACATCAGCTGAAGAATCATCATTTAAACACTGGCTTACACCTTGACCCTCATTGTGTACTTTTAGTCCAACACATGGAGAGCCCTGTTCACTAGAGGCTGACAGTAGAGATGAGAGCTAATCTGAAGCAGCTGAGACCCCCGCTGATGGCTACACCTGGAAAGCAGAGGTTTCTGTGATAGTCTGGCCAATCTCCAGATATTATCAGTTATTAAAACCTGACTTTATTTAGCAGCAATAACAATTTATTGAATGGACTACAAGAGATATGGATCAATGGCTATACATACCATTCACATTTTAACTACAAGGAATTCACATTCCTGAAATAAAAATGAACAGCACTTATAGACTGTTTTTGTGTTTTAACCTAATTGCTTTTAGTATAAAAGATTCATATTTGATGAATACTAGCAGGATTAAATTCCACTGTTATTTTTAGTAATACAAAGTAACAAAATTTTGTGAAATAATCAAGTGTGATATAGATTAATGTGAAAGCATTTTTGGAAACGCCTTTTGAAATGAGTGTATGATTTCCATCTTTTTTAAAAGTTTAACTAATTTCTGACAGATTAGTTTCAGTTCTACAGTATAAACTATGAAGAGATTTGAGTCAAGAAGATCTCAAGTCAAAATTAGATTGAAAATTTACAAACCTAGGGTCAAGAATTGCATTGATGCCAAAAATTTGTATAGTGCTGCAGGATACATACATATATTACCATTCTTTAAAAATTTGATTCTTTTTAACTAATATATTTATGTATCAACACATTAATGTTTGAAGTCTAGAAATCAAGTCTCCTTAACTCGGGAGAAGTTTTTAAACCTCTTTGTGGTGGAAAAATATCAAACATTCCAAAAAAGTGAAGAAAATGGCAGTATGATCCCCAGGTACCAGATTCCCAGCATTCATAATTATCCACATTTGGACAATCCTCTACTATCTATCCTCCAGCCACCCCCTTTCTTGCTTTAAAGTAAATGCCATCAATACCCCTGTAAATAATTTGGTATGTAGTCTAGAAACAAATTCTGACTAGCTTAATTCTTTCATTGATTGATTCATTCATTTATTTACCACCTCATATTTTAAACATTTGTAGAACATCTACCATATTCTAGATGCCATATTAAGCCCTGGAAATTGATTGGCTGGATATGGTCATTTGGGACCATTTCTAAGAAGTTCTCTTATAACTGGAAATGTATGCTGTTGAGAAATCAGATCATACCACTCAACTACTTAAACCCCACCCAATGATGTATCATGAGCTCCTGGACAACCCTTAACATGACATGTGTGATCTCTCATAATCTAACCCCCTCAACCTGTCCACACTCACCTTTACCCACTGGACCAGGAATACTCTAAACTCCTGTATGAAAATATTTTCCCCGATATGCCTTTCTTTCATTTTCTTGTACATGCTGGGCCCTCTTTCTGGAATCTTGATCTCAAAATCAGACCAATTGTGACGCAGTTTTCAAGACACCCCCAATCATCACTTCTTTGAGTAACCCTGTATACCTCTCCTCCAAGAAAACAAACCTCTAGGTGTTCATCCTCTATTGTAGCACAGAACGTCTTCTGTGTGTCGCTATCGTAGCACAGCTTTCAGGTATATCATAGTTTTATGTTGCTCTGACTAGACTAAGAATTTTTAGGACAGGCTCTGAATTTTGGATTTCTGTATCCCCATTATATGCAACAATCAGAATATACAACAGGTACTTAATAAATTCAGTGGTTTTTTTCTTGGAATGTATTTATCAGATAAACAAACTATGGTCATTTCTGGAGGTATATTAAGATGGATCCCAACAATGACCCCAGTTCACCATGACTTCACAGGGCTAGCAGAGGCCCATGGAACCACTGATAGTTTTCCCACTGAAAGGAAGCAAACAAAATAGGTGCTGTATTTAAAGAAACACCAGAATATCATGTGATATTTGGATATCAGCTCTGCCCTTTCAGAATGTTTAGTACAGTATTACTTGAATGTAAAATGAAGGGATAAAATGGTCACTAAAAGAAGGTCACACAATATGAAAATAATGACAAAAAGAAAACGAAAGCCTAACCTAACGTGAATGACTTTAGGTCATTCCCCTCCTTGCCACTTAACTTTAACTTGTCTTTTTTAGTACATTTTTCTTACGTATCTTTTGTCTCCATCTTATATCTTGTGCCCTAAAGAATCAGATGGAAAACAAACATACATGTAAATAAGATATCAAATAAATGGAATAGTGCATCAGCAGGGCCCCTATAGCAAATGGAAAAGAGGGTCTGTGTTACTACATCCATAATTATGGCAATGCTGCGTGTAGGATCACTAAATTTTAGAGCTGGAGGGATCCTAGAGATTATCTAGTCCAAATACCTTTTCAAAGATTAAATGATTTATCCAAACTCACACCCTCCTTTTCAAATTTCAGTCAGCCTTGCAATCTTTCTGAGGTTATTGGTGAAGGGTAGGATAACTGAATAGCGAAAAGAGAATAATTTAGCATGGAGGAGTCAACATGAGTTCTGCACTAGAAATGATGTTTGTTGGTTTTACTAGAGTTGTTTGAGGGGATAAATAAGCGTGACTAAGGAGATTTAAAGAGAAAATTTATATTTAAACTTTCAAAAAGCCTTGTGACAAGTTCCTATATCAGACTATTTAAACAACCCCCATAAGAAATTGGCTTGGAGAGAAATTTGAGAGTTAATATCATTGATAAAGAGTCAAGTCCTATTTCTGGCTTTTACTGAGTGTTGTTGGCAAATTATTTTGCCTCACTTATCATCATTTTCCCACAAATAATATAAGAAAAGTGATTTCACTTAACTCACTGAGCTACTGTGAGGATTGAATGAGATAATAATACTGTTTATAACAAAAGCTAACATATATTAAGTACAATTTCTTAAGTAATAACAAATTTTATTTCACTTAGCCCTCACAAGGAAAATACCGTTGTTATCTTATCACTTTAAAGATGAGAGAACTGAGGCACAGAGTAAAGAAGTAACTTGTCCTGAGTCCTGAAGCTAATTATTGGTAAAGCCAGGAATTGAACCCAGGAAGGCTGGTTCTAGAGCGCTTACTCTTAGCCAGTCTCCTGCCTCTTGTGCTATTAGTATGCACAAATCCCTTTTCATGCACAGCCTAGGTAACGTAATAAGGGCTTAGTAAGTTTAGTTATTACTATTTTTATACTTTATCAGATGGAAGAAGACAAAGGAGGCCTAATATTGACTGAAGACCTACTTTAAGTGTAATGCATTCTCTTTACAGCCAGCCTGGGAGGCCATAGATGCCCATAGAGGTATCATGGTTCAACCAGTCAGAACTGGGATTCGGGGGGACATTGGTCTTGTTCCAAAGCCCATGTTCTTTTTACTACATTCCAGCCTGTACTGTTATTTGTTATTCCTCTTGTACCAAAAACACACTTAGGTGTATGGGTAGGTATGTACCCAAGATGTAAGGCACATATACACATAAAATCAATGTTTTATTTAACTTATATGTGAGTAAATTTTAGTAAGGAAGAAATAAATAGTAGCAAAGGAAGAATTTAGTAAGTTTCTGAAGAGCAGACCTAATGGCTGCTGTCCCCAGAGTCAACACTGGAGCTAGTCAAGTTTTATTTTTAGAGCATGATGGGGCATACAAATACACATAAAAATTGATTAATTTTCAGTTGATAGTAAGCTTTTATGGGGAGAAAAGGGCCAACCCAATGATATCAAATGGCAGGATCCTAAAATGGACTGCTAGACAGGGGATCTATTGTCATTTTAGGTTATTCCCTGTAAAACATTGTCCAAAAGAGCTTTTGTACCAAACACTCATGCAAAGTGCTGCAAGGAAGAGTATCAGAAAGCATTATCCATGGTACTACATGTCGGCATTAGAAATATTGTGTAGTTCTAGTCGCCATGCCTCAAGGAAGACATAAGGCCATAAGGTTAGAAACCATCTAAAGCAAGATAATTAAAATGACATAAAGATACAGAAAATTTGCTGCGAGAAAATCGACTAAAAATATTAATACCTTTGAAAACTGAAAAGGGATATAATATAATAAAGTCAGGATGAAAATGAGTAGTATGAACACAAACTTATTCAACAATTCTAGAATTCCAGAACCAGCAAGTACCTTGTTGCTGTTGTTAACCCCTGAATTCTTCAGAATGAATCTCCCAAGTGAAAGGGAATCTCCTGCAGGATCACATGTATTAATCACACTTAGGAAATTTAACATTAGTACTATAATATAGCATAATACACACACATATCCCGATTTCTCCAATTGTCCCAATAATCTTCTTTATAGCTTGCCCGTCTTCCCTCCCTGCCTCCCTTTCTTCCTTCCTTTCTCTTTTTTTTTTTTTGATCTAGAGTCCAATCAGATATCTCACATTGCATTTATGTAATGTAACTCTCAACTCTCCTCTAATCTGGAACAGTCACTAACGCCATTACCCCCAACCCCTGGCAACCACTGATCTTTTTACTGCCTCCATAGTTTTGACTGTCCTAGACTGTCATATAGTCAGAAGCATACAGTATGTAGCTTTTATAGGTTGGCTTCTTTCACTTAGTAAATATGTACTTAAGGTTCCTGCATGTCTTTTTGTGGCTTGATATTTCATTTTTAAAAAACACTGAATAATAGTCTATTAACTGGATGTACCACAATTTATTTATCTATTCACCTACTGAAGGAGATCTTGGTTGCTTCCAACTTTTGACAATTATGAATAAAGCTGCTACAAACATCTGTGTGCCTACTTTTGTGTGGAAATAGGTTTTCAAATTTTTTGATTAATTTTGAGTGCAATGACAGGATCATATAATAAGAGTATATTTAGTTTTGTAAGACACCTTCAAACTGTCTTCCAAAGCGGCTGTACCATTTTGCATTCTCAGTATCAATGAATGAGAGTTCCTGTTTCCCCACATCCTCACCAGCATTTGGCGTTCTTAGTGTTCTGGATTTTGGCCATGCTAATAGATTTATAGTGGTATCTCATTGTTGTTCTAATTTTCATCTACTTGATGACTTATAATGTTGAGCATTTTTTCATATGCTTATCTGCCATCTATATATCTTCTTTGGCGAGGTGTCCATTAAGGTCTTTGGCCCTTTAATTGGGTTGTGTGTTTTTTTTATTGAGTTTTAAGAGTTCTTTGTATATTTTGGGTAACAATCCTTTATCAGATTGTGTTTTGTAAATATTTTCTCCCAGCCCATGGCTTGTCTTTTCATTCTTTTAACATTGTCTTCCATGGAGCAAACACGTTGTAATTGTAAAGAAGTCCAGCTTATCAATTATTTCTTTCATGAATCGTGCCTTTGGTATTGTATCTAAGAAGTCATCTCCATACTCAAGGTTATCTAGACTTCCTCCTACATTATCTTCTAAGATTTTTAGGTTTTATAATTTACATTTAAGTCTATGATCCATTTTGATTAATTTAGTAAAGGATGTAAGATCTGTGTCTAGATTCAATTTTTTGCATGTGGAAGTTCAGTTGTTCCAGCAACATTTGTTGAAAAGACTATCTTTGCTCCACTGGATTGCTTTTGCTCCTTTGTCAAAGATCAGTTGACTATGTTTGTGAGGGCTGTGTAGGGGAAGGGTGGTTCTGAGCTCTCCATTCTGTTCCATCCATCTATTTGTCTATTCTTTCACCAATACCATACTGTTTTAATTACTGTTGCTTGTAAGTATTGAAGGTGGGTAGTGTCAATTTCTTGGCCTTCATTATTGTGTTGGCTATTCTGGGTCTTTTGCCTCTTTGTATAAACTTTAGAATCAGTTTGTCAATATTCACAAATAACTGTTGGGATTTCAACTGGGATTGCATTGAATTTATAGATCAAGTTGGGAAGGACAGACAGCTTGACAATATTGAGTCTTTCTGTCCATAAACATGGAATGTCTCTCCATTTCCTTAGTTCTTTGATTTTTTTCATTAGAATTTTGTAGTTTTCCTCATTAGATCATGTACATATTTTATTAATTTATACCTACATATTTTGTGTTTTGGGGTGCTATATAAATTGTATTGTGTTTTTAATCTCAAATTCCACTTGTTCATTATTGGTACATAGGAAATAATATTTTGATAGAGATCTTTTCATCTATGTTCATTAAGGATACTGGTCTGTCGTTTCCTTACAATGTCTGGTTTTGGTAAAGGGTAATGTTGGCCTCATATTTTAAGTTAGGAAGTATTTTCTCTGCTTCTTGGAAGAGATTGCAGACCAGTGGCATAATTTCTTCCTTAAATGTTTGGTAGAGTTCACCAGTGAAGGCTGGTGTTTTCTGTTTTAGAAAGTTATTAATTATGGATTCAATTTCTTTACTAGATATAGGCCTAGTCAGATTGTCTATTTCTTGTATGAGTTTTGGCAAATTTTCTTTCAAGGAATTGGTCCATTTCATCTAGTTTGTCAAATTCATGAGCATAGAGTTACTCATAGTATTCCTCTATTATCCTTTTAATGTCTATAGGATCTATAGTGATGTCCTCTCTTTCATTTCTTATATTAGTGATTTATGTCCTATCTTTTTCAAAGAACCAGCTTTTGATTTTGTTGATTTTCTCTACTGAACTCCTGTTTTCAGTTTCCTTGATTTCTGCTCTAATTCTTATTATTTCTTTTCTTCTGCTTACTTTGGATTTAATTTGCTCTTCTTTTTCTAGTTTCCTAAGGTGAAAACTTAGGTTATTGATTTTAGCTCTTTTTTATTGTCTAATACCTGCACTCAATATCATAAATTTCCTTCTAAGCACTACTTCCACTGCATCTCACAATTTTTAAGTTATGTGTTTCATTTTCCTTTAGTTCAAAATATTTTAAAATTTCTCCTGAGATTTCTTCTTTGACTCCTATGTTATTTATGTTGTTTAATCTTCACATATTTTGGGAATTTCCAGTTATATTTCAGTTATTGATTTCTAGTTTAATTTCATTGTGGTCTGAGAGCAGACATTGTTTGATTTCTATTGTTTTAAATTAGGGTATGTTTTATGGCTCATAATATGAACTCTTTTGGTGAATGTTCCATGTGAGCTTGAGAAGAATGTGTAGTGTGCTGTTGTTGGATGAAGCAGTATATAGGTGTCAGTTATACACAGTTGATTTTTGGTGTTGTTGAGTTCAACTATATCCTTCTGATTTTCTGCCTGCTGATATGTCCACTTCTGATAGAGGGCTGTTCAAATCTCCAACTGTGATAGTGAATGGATCTATTTCTCCTTGAAGTTCTGTCAATTTTGCCTCATGTATTAATACTTTGACACTATGCTGTTAGGTAAATACACATTAAGGATTTTGTTTTTTGAGAATTGACTCCTTTATCATCACGTAATGCCTGTCTTTATCTCTGATAACTTTCCATGCTTTGAAGTCTGCTCTGAAATTAATGCAGCTGCTCCTATTTTCTTTTTTTTAATTAATTTATTTATTTATTTTTGGCTGTGTTGGGCTCTAGGCACGTGGGCTTCAGTAATTATGGCATGTGGGCTCAGTAGTTGTGGCTCACGGGCTCTAGAGCGAAGGCTCAGTAGTTGTGGCGCACGGGCTTAGTTGCTCCGCAGCATGTGGGATCTTCCTAGACCAGGGCTCGAACCTGTGTCCTCTGCATTGGCAGGTAGATTCTTAACCACTGCGCCACTAGGGAAGTCCCTT